TGCTAGAAGTTTTGTCGGGCAACACTGACCCTACGCGGTTAAACGTGAAGCCCGGTGAGCAGCCTCCCTTCTTGTTTGGGACGGTTCCAGACATTCTGGGAGGTTGGATGTCAATGACTCTGATCTCAACGCTACTTGAGGCCCTATACGGGATCCACAAGTGCACGGTCCACCCTAATCGGGAGGGACGTGCCGTTCAAAGTTTTCAAGCGTTGGGCACTGCGTGACCGAACGCCTATGGGGCCTTTGCTTAGGCCGATGGGAGCAGCAGAAGTCCCTTATACGGGATACGTGCTGCTGACGATGGCCGAGTATCGGTCCGCCCTCAAAACGAGGTGCATCCGGAGGCCTGGCAAATTCGCCATCACAGTTTTCCCCATGCGACCTGAGCAGGTCTGCAGGGGGGAGATCATGATTGGGATGGAGGGCGCAAAGGTGCCTTTCCTCAAGTTGCCCAGCCCCAATAATGAGGGCGAATTTTATGTTGACGACCGCATCAAGTACATGGACAAGCGCCATGTCGTTGTGGCCGTTGACCTAAAGTGGATGGCCATCGAGGAAGCCGCCGGCATCTACAAAACCCGACGCGGTTTGATCGCCGTGCGGGAGGAGATACATGCGCCCTTTTGGCGCGCATGCTATCTGCACCAGGAAGGGGATGTAATATACATCCGTCCCTGGGCGGTCCGTGAGTTGAATGTTCAGGGACCGCGGAGAGGGGTGTCATTTTCATGGGACAATGCTCCCATGCATGACTACTGGTGCCCTCGGTGCGCGCATTTGAACATGTATGGCACCATTCTATGCAATGGTTGCCATCTGCCGATTTTCTATCGTGAATGGGTGCCAGGCACCGTCCGCGCTCTGGTTAAGCATGGACAGCCAATCTGGCTGAGCGAACTCAAAGCAGTTCGCCCCAGCAGCTGGCATGAGGGGGAGACCGACGCGTGGGCCCCTCTCATGGCATCGGTAAACCCGATTCGCGAGGTGGTCAGCTGCATGATCACCGGTTTGCGCTGCGCGCCGCATCTTGTGCACATTCCCAATGCGGATATTGTGCAAGTTGCGTTTCAGGAGGTTGCAAAGGTCACCTCAAAGGACACTCACGCTTGTGTGCGGGCGAGTGATGAGGCTCTCGAGCGGTGGGTAGCGAAGCAGCTGCTCATCGAGGAGAGCAACACTGGCGTCTCGATTCCCGACAATATGTCTGTCATGGCATATTTAATCGACCACCCGCAACAGGCGGCGCAATGGGGTCGTCATATGACGAGAAAGGGCAGTCTAAATTCAGCATTTGCCCTTTACCTCTCTGTGCATATCTTTGATGCCTACCGCATCGGGATTGAGGACGGGTATTTGGTTCCGCTGTATGGCCTAGGCGCCTCACGCGCGGATATCATAATGTCGTTGGTACAGGCTGAGCGACGCCTCACGGACTTCAATACTGAAGATCCGAGTTTCGACGCTTCCACCGTTCTTGATTGGAATATCGACTCTTTGCGGGCAAGTGGTGGATCCATCACGGCCCCAATTGAGTATGCTGAGGCATACATTTATGTCGAAGACAATAAGGTTGACATGGTCCCCGCTTCGCGGCGCGACGGCCAATGCGCCATTGTCTTTGCTGACCCGCCGGTTGGGAAGCACCACAGGCGGGCAGCCACTCCTAGGGGAGACCAACGGTCTGCCACCCCGCGACCTGAATCCAGGTCAAAGGGTGATCAGCAAAAGGGCAAAGCCCCTGCACAATCCTGGCCCAAGGGCGGAGGTCACAAGGGTGACCAGTTCCCAGGAAAGGGTCACAAAGGTGATCAGTACAAAGGCAAGGGTGGCCAATACGGCTACCAACAAGGGCAGTTCGGTCGTGGCGGATCCGCCAGATCGAGAACTCCCACTGGCGGGTATCAGCCTGATGCTCGCGGGTCGGGATACAAGGGTGCTCAGGCAGCCCCTTTCCCGTTCCCAAGTCCGATGTACCCCGCTTTCCCAATGGGAGGGTACATGCAACAGCCAATGGCTGGCATGATGCCGCAAATGTGGCCTGGCGCAATGCCGCAGGGTTGGCAGCCGCACATGCAGGGTGATCCACGCGAGTTCGAGAATCCGAACTCGCCGCATACCCCTACCTGGGGTGCGGATGATGAGTTGGCCGAGACCGTGCCTCCTCCTCCTGGGGACTGGAACGTCAACAAGGGGAGGGGACGGCACGGCGGCGGACGACATCGGTAATACCTGGTGTCCGTCTGCATCTTTTGCGTAGCGGCGCCAACGCGCGCGTGCTTTCATTCCGGAATTCACATAATGGACAATGCTCCCTGTAGTATTTCTATGTTTGGGCTATTCGCCATTCCAGAATTCAACTGCATGCGCAGCTGTGCGCTATTCGCGCTGGCGGCGATTACCTGTCAGGTGTGCGTCGCCGCAGCAAGGCAGTTACCCTCGCCGGTGTCTACGGCCGCTGGTTGTCAGCATCGTCCAGCACCGCTGCTGCTGCTGGAGATGGAACTCATCAAGGTGCTGCGGTGAGGATCACGGATGCGCTGCACCGCTGCCGGTGATGTCCTACTCGGATCTGGACCGCTGATTGCAGCTGGTGGTGTTCCTACTGAAGGTCTTTGTGTGATCGCGCGCCTAGACGGTGCTACTTTAAAGACCAAGGTCTTGTGGTCAAAGCACCATGTTTCAACCAGCAGGCCAATGCGCCTAAATCATGAATTCAGGAACTAAATCCACTTGAACCTTGCGGTTCGTTGTGGTTGCATTGCAAATGTAATTTTATTTCATGCCTGCCATTCTGGAGTTGAATCTCTGTTTCTGTTTCTTTTTGCTTTCTCTTGTTTGATTTGGCTACCGGCGCGAATCCGCCCCATACCCGTAATTCGGGGTGGTGGCGGGATCCGGGCACCAATGAGTGCCCGGGTATGGGGTCGCGAACCCTGGTAGCCTAATCGGCTTTGTTTTTCTTGTTTATTGCCTTCTCAACTTCAACATGGCCAATGCGCCCTTCCAAATTCACTCCATCTCTTTGTACAGGCGAGGGGGGTGTTTTTGGGGGCATGTAGTTTTATCATAACATGTTTCCACGCCACGGCCAATGCGCCGTTTGGCTCAAGCTTTTCAATCCGGCAACTTGCCCTTGCAATTTCGTCACCGCGCACCGCGGCACATCGTGCTCGTCTCCGGCAAAGAGTGCCGCTGCCGAGCGCCTGTGGTGGTGTTCCCGGTGGAGGTTGGTCGGGGGTCTGGTTGGGGTTGGTGTGCACTGGTTTGCTTTGCTTGCTTCGCTGCATTGTTTGCCTGCTTGGTTTGCTGCTTTGTGCTTGCTTTCGGTTGTCTCTGCCCTTGCTGGGCTTTCTTACCTTGTTACAACTGGCACCCTGTTTTGGTTCGTGTTTGGCCAGCCGAGGGCACCGCTTTGCCCTTGGGACTGGGGGACTTAAACAATCTCTTCTTGTTGGTGGGATTGGGCCTGTTTATTCTCTCCCGAAACTCTGTTTCAAACCCTTTCGCACAACCTAACCCCTAAACCACCAATAGCCGCTAAACCACCCATTTAAATCACCAGTTAGAGGCTAGGTCCCCCAGTAGTGCCCTTCTCTCCCCTTTTTTGGCGGAGGGTTCCCCTACTAAAATAGACGTCCTGAAAAAGAATCGGGTACCAACTTATTTTTAACCTCTCACATCTGGACGACCTAGGTAGGCAACCAGGGGAAACCCTGATGTAAAACCTAGAGGTAAGGATCCCTGGGTACCTACTATGGTGGTAACTGGAAGTTGGTGTATTGAAAAAAAACACGGAACCTGAGAGGAGTCGCTCATGGCCGCCGAGTGGTCAAAGGACGTCGAGATCGCCGCTCGGTCGGTTAAACCAAAGGACAGCGGAGCCGGACTTGGGAACGCCAGAGAGCTGCAACTATTCTATTTGCTTTGGTTCGTTTGTTTTGTTTTATTTGTTTTATTTGGTTTGATTGTTTGCTTGTTTGCTTGCTTGCTTGTTTGTTTGTTTGTTTGTTTGTTTGTTTGTTTGTTTGGCAATGTGTGTTGTTTGCTTGGCACCGGCTCAGCCGGTGTCCAGCACCTCGGGCAGGTTGGTTGGATGGCTGGCTGGTTGGTGGGGCGGTCGGTCGGGTCGCGTCGGGTCGCGTCGGGTCGCGTCGGGTCGGGTCGGGTCGGGTCGGTGGTTGGTTGGTTGGTTGGTTGGCTGGCTGGCTGGCTGGCTGGTTGGCTGGTTGGCTGGTTGGCTGGTTGGTTGGTTGGTTGGTTGGTGGGTGGGTTGGTTGGTTGGTTGGTTGGTAGGTTTGGTTTTTGTTGTTGTGTTTTGTTTGTTTGTTGATTTGGTTTGGTTTGGTGTGTTTCGTTGTTTGTTTGTTTGTTTGTTTGTTTGGGTGTTTTGCCGTGCTCCGTTGTTTTTGCATGGTTTCTATTTTTTTTTCCCTTGCCTTGCCTTGCCTCGCCTTGCCTTGCCTTCTCGCTTGCTTCCTTGAACCTCTGCCCTCCAATCAGGGCGCTTTATTTCGCAGCGTGTTCAAGGGACGGCATGGTATCGGAGAGAAGGAAGCCAAGCCCTTGGACTTAACGTCACTTTCTGGAACAGGGATCTTCTTGATTTGGGGGTTGATCAATATTCCCGTCCCCCAAATGACCATGGCTAACTTTTCCTATCTGGTGGTTGCTATATCACATAATTTCAGTGGTTTTCCAACCACCCGTTGGTCAACCCCCACTTAAGGGACAAGTTGCGTAAACCAGGCGACCCATAGGTCAATTTGATTGAGTTTTGAGTGAGTTTTCCAACCAATGGTCCCATGTAAAGGACCTTTTGCTCAACCCCCATATAGTAACCAACCAAGGGAACCACCCTTTAAAACCAGAGAATGGCTGGTTGCCTACGAGTGGCTTGCCTGGGACCCTGTCGTTTTAGGAAGCCAGAAGGGGCCCGTATAAATACTGGGATAATCCATCTCTTGTCCACCCATTTTTTTGTTCATATCTTTCAACCGATGGTCATCCCATGTATCACGGACCTGTTGGTCAACCCCCACTTCAGGGAGTTTTGGGGTGAGTTTTCCAACCAATGGTCCTGCGTATCACGGACCTTCTCACCCTGGAATTGGGGCAGGGGGGGGTTACCCCTGGAATTCCATTTACCCTTTTCTGGTTGGAACACTAGATGCATGAAATCGGGAACCCCCCACTCTATCAGTAGGGATGATCAGCTCCCACCGGGCCAACGCTTCGAGCGAGCCGAGGGCTTCCACGCCCCAGCGCACCCGGCGCGGCCCTGGAGCCGGCGCCCGCTCTGCGCGGGGCAATCAGCGCAAGGCCCGGCGGCGGCGCTGGGCTGGGCGGACGCCGAAGGCCGGAAGAAGTGGGGTGAGCGGCGAATCGGGCGGTTCGGACCCAGCGAATCGTCCGGGGTCCTTGTTTTTTTTTTGGGGGGAGTTTGGTGGGGGTTTCCATTTAAGACTTTTCGGATCGGTTCCTTAGGTCTTCAGGTGTTTAGGTTCCTGAATTTGGGGGTTTAGCGACCCACTAAAAGGTTCCTGATGTTTTTGGCGTAGTGGGGGCTTCCATTTACCCCACGGTGTAGTGAGGGTTTCCTTTTAGCCCACTAAAATTTCCTTAGGTTTTTAGGTTTTGGAGGTTTAGTGGTTGGGTTTCCAACATTTCAACCCACTGAAAGTTACACTATTAGCAGGGGATCTGAAAACCGACAGCTAGCAAGGTGCTTGGGTGGCTCGCCCTTTTCAAGGTTGGACTTTCCAACATGTGTCATCGGTGTTTCGTTCGGTTTTCCTTTAATAGCACCCAACAAGGGGCACTATCAACAAAAAGACACACCCGCTTCCAGTTATCATAGGCAAGGGGAAATGGATCACGTCAAGTCTAGCCGGAACTTCCACCTGGTTGCAAGCCTATGGTGCCTGGACGCGGCTTAGCTTTGGAGTCGACTGGCAAGTGGGTTGTTGGTCAAAAAAGTCATCGGCCGCTTTTTGGGACCTGAAGCCTTTCAGAGGGGTTGCCAAGGGTCTCTACTTTTCTCGGCGAAGCCATCCGGTCCCTTAGCTTTTTAGATCCTTTTAGTGCCTAGTGGTTGGATTTTTCCGTATCTAAGCCACTAAAGGTTCTTCGCTTTGAGCGGATCTGGGGGGGGGGGGGGGAAAACGGGCCGCCCAGTTTTGCCGGAGCTTCGAATTCGTGTTTTGGTCGCTGAGGTCCCACTCCTCTGATGCGGCTCGAGGGCATGCCCAGCGAGGAGTTCTTTCTGACGCGGGCGCAGCTTTACAGGCGGTGCGCGGTGGTGTGAAAAATGCTTTGCCCGTGCGCGCGCGCGCGGGCCGCCCATCGTTGCTCCGGCGTTTTTTGTTTTTTTTTCTTCTAGGGTACCTTCCAGGCAGGGAATGAATTGAACTGACCAACAGGTGGTTTCCTTTCTGACTTTTGCTAGGGATACCTTATTCTAGGGGTAATTTCCATCTCCATTCTATCCAGGGATCCTTCTTTCTAGAGAACCACTAAAAACCCAGGGAAAACGGCCGGTTTTTGGAACGATGGTTGAAAAGAATGGGGGATCAACCCTAGAGTTTTTAGTCTTGGCCCGGTTTTGGCGGGTCCGGTGAGTGCCGAGATTCGGTTGGAGTCCCAATGGTTGGTTTTCCCCAGCAAAAAAGAAGGTTCCCCGAAGCCTCTGCAGGGAAAGGCGGGATCCTTACATGAACCGACAATCTTGCCAGAAACCGATGTGCCTACCCAGAACTGAAAAGGAGCGGCGGGATAGAACCGTTGGGGCTTGTCCGATTCCTGAGCCACAGCCGCATGTTGCTTTTAGGATTCCAACATCATCGCCCATTTTCTGTCGGCTTTCTGATGCCGATGAATTTCGCAGGGGCACTTACACTAGTAGTGCCCTTTTACCTTTTTTTTTGGAGGGTTCCCCTACTAAAATAGACGACAGAGAAAAGTTAGTACCCTTATTCTAACCTCTCTACTGGAGGACCTAGTGCACGTTCCTGCTTTCGGGCAACTTGCACATCCCCGGTTCAATGCACAGATGAGTCCTTTTGTCTTTGTGACTGTGAGGTTTGAAGGGCACATACTGACGGGCAAAAAAATCACCAGCACTTGGGATGGATGAAACCCCATGAATACTGGGATGAGCAACCTACCAACCTTCCAACTGGTGGAGAATTTCATCCATCCGCAGTAGAACAAAGGTGCCGGTAGGGGGGTTGCAGAGCGAGGCCGAAGAGACTGCCTGTTCTTTGTCAGGGGTCTTTGCATTGCTTGCAACTTGCAACCTGTAAGGAAAAGTGCGACACAACGCCCAAATCTTGGTTGCTCTGTCGAGACTTGTGATGTTTGTGGCGGGCTGCCGACAAACGTTTATGTCACACTCAGACACACAAGTTGCTGGAACTGTTTGCCAGGACCGGTCCGACCCTGACCAATCCACAAGGGTAGAACACTGGAATCGGGTTCTACGCTTGTGATAGGGTTGAATTTAAAAGTTGTCAGGAGCTGTGCACCATTAAGCCGGCTGTTGGGCCACGCGCATTTCTCGCAAACTGCATGCCTGGTCGAGCTTGGCCACCATAGCACCTGATGGCTGGGGGTATGGTAATGCATGCGACACTTCCTTCTCGCAGTATACACTGAGGAAGGCCAAAGAGACGGCCTGTTCTCTGCCAGGGACGCAGACACAGACTGCATATTTGGCATGATTTGCAGCTTGAATCTTGTGAAGAGAAAGGAAGAGTGCGGCACACCGCTCAAGTGAAGCTTGGTTGCATTGTCGAGTGACGTTTGAGGCTGACTGCTGGCAAGCGTTCAGATCAAGCTCCGCCACATGTTGGGGGGCCTTGTTGCTGAAGTCATGCTTGGCTTCAGAAGCTTGTCAGGAGCCGTGCACCAATAAGCCGGCTGTTAGGCCACGCGCATTTCTCGCAAACTGCATGCCTGGTCGAGCTTGGCCACCATAGCACCTGATGGCTGGGGGTATGGTAATGCATGCGACACTTCCTTCTCGCAGTATACACTGAGGAAGGCCAAAGAGACGGCCTGTTCTCTGCCAGGGGCGCAGGCACAGACTGCATATTTGGCATGATTTGCAGCTTAAATCTTGTGAAGAGAAAGGAAGAGTGCGGCACACCGCTCAAATGAAGCTTGGTTGCACTGTCGAGACGACGTTTGTGGCGGACTGCTGGCAAGCGTTCAGATCAAGCTCCGCCACATGTTGGGGGGCCTTGTTTGCTGAAGTCATGCTTGGCTTCAGAAGCTTGTCAGGAGCCGTGCACCAATAAGCCGGCTGTTAAATTAGGCCACGCAAATTTCGCGCAGTCAATCTGCATGCCTGGTCGAGCTTGGCCACCATAGCACCTGATGGCTGGGGGTATGGTAATGCATGCGACACTTCCTTCTCGCAGTATACACTGAGGAAGGCCAAAGAGACGGCCTGTTCTCTGCCAGGGGCGCAGACACAGACTGCATATTTGGCATGATTTGCAGCTTGAATCTTGTGAAGAGAAAGGAAGAGTGCGGCACACCGCTCAAATGAAGCTTGGTTGCACTGTCGAGACGACGTTTGTGGCTGACTGCTGGCAAGCGTTCAGATCAAGCTCGGCCACATTTTTGGGGGCCTTGTTTGTTGAAGTCATGCTTGGCTTCAGAAGCTTGTCAGGAGCCGTGCACCAATAAGCCGGCTGTTAAATTAGGCCACGCAAATTTCGCGCAGTCAATCTGCATGCCTGGTCGAGCTTGGCCACCATAGCACCTGATGGCTGGGGGTATGGTAATGCATGCGACACTTCCTTCTCGCAGTATACACTGAGGAAGGCCAAAGAGACGGCCTGTTCTCTGCCAGGGGCGCAGACACAGACTGCATATTTGGCATGATTTGCAGCTTGAATCTTGTGAAGAGAAAGGAAGAGTGCGGCACACCGCTCAAATGAAGCTTGGTTGCACTGTCGAGACGACGTTTGTGGCGGACTGCTGGCAAACGTTCAGATCAAGCTCGGCCACATTTTTGGGGGCCTTGTTTGTTGAAGTCATGCTTGGCTTCGGAAGCTTGTCAGGAGCCGTGCACCAATAAGCTGGCTGATAGGCCACGCAAATTTCGCGCAGTCAATCTGCATGCCTGGTCGAGCTTGGCCACCATAGCACCTGATGGCTGGGGGTATGGTAATGCATGCGACACTTCCTTCTCGCAGTATACACTGAGGAAGGCCAAAGAGACGGCTTTTTCTCTGCCAGGGGCGCAGACACAGACTGCATATTTGGCATTTCTTGCAGCTTGAAGCTTGTGGAGAGAAAGGAAGAGTGCGGCACGGCGCTCAAATGAAGGTTGGTTGAACTGTCGAGACGACGTTTGTGGCGGACTGTTCAGATCAAGCTTAGTAATATGTTGCGGGCCTTGTTTGTTGAAGTCATGCTTGGCTGCAGAAGCTTGTCGGGAGCTCTGCGCCAACAAGTGGATGGCTAGGCGATTTTCGCACAATCTGCACGTCTGGTCGAGCTTGGCCACCATAGCACCTGATGGCTGGGGGTATGGTAACGCGTGCAACATGCGACGTGCTTCGGACAGATACGGAGGGAGGCCTGAGTTTAGTCCTCACTCTCACCACGTGAAGCAGACATTTGCTAGGACTTACTTGCCCAAAGCCGACCTTCTGACCTTCCAGTTTCCTCCCTTTGGTCCATTTTTACTCATGGCCCCCAAAAGTTCACCTTTGAGTGCTGGGTCCTGTGGGGCACTGAGATTTTGCTGAAGTTCTTTTCCGGCAGAGTTTCCTTCAAGCTCAATCACCCAACGCAGCTGGATATTCTGCATGGGTCGCCTTTTGGCGTATCAGACATTTCGTCTGGCCGGTTCGGAACCTGCGAATCCTCCGGTTCCTTTGCTTTTTGTGAGGTTTTTCGTTGGTTTAGTGGTGGTTCCAGCTGTCCAGCTCCTTTTTTCTTCACAAGTTTTTTAGCTGGCTTAAAGTTTCGTGCTGGGGGTTCCGAATTTAACCCACCAACACTTAAGCTTTTAGCAGGGGATCTGAGGACAGCCCAGGTTTCCTTTCGTTTCCCTTTGTCCGGGACCTTGTTTGTCTAGCCTTGCGCCGTTTGATTTTGTCATTGAAGCTACTCTGGTGTTTTCTCGTGAGTTTGACATGGGGGTGTCTTTTAGGGGACCCCCAAGCATGTTGTTTTTCTTGTAAATTTCCTGTAAACACCGCAAAAGAAGGGGTGTGCCTGAGTTAAAACAAGAACACACCCATCTGGAGGTTCGAGCGCCCGCCGCAGCTTTGGACCATGGCAACCATCAGCCGGTTGGGCCTTGAGGGTCTTCCAAGTGAAGAAGATTTGGGGCCAACGCGATGGGGGAGCTCGTCCTTTTTTTGAAGGCTCGGTTCCACGTTTGATGGTTGAAGTATCTCCAGGGAATCCAACAAGAACCCAAGCGGGTCAAGGCGTTTGAGTGCAACATTTGTTGAGGGCAACCCTACCAAAGGGAAACCAAATCTAGGGAGTCCCCTATTTTGAGGCGACTCCGCTTGGTAGGCTTGTTAGCAGTCTGAGGGCGTCAAGCAAGCTGCAAAGGAGCTACAGGCTTGAAGCGCCAACAAGGCATATACTATGAGTTTTCCTTTCGGCTGCCCTTTAAACCAGGCTGCAAAGGGTTTCCTCAAAAAGACTTGGGACGCCCAGATTGGCTCAGAAATGACGGGGGATGTGTTTCTGGTGGCTTGCATGTCCACTGCCCACGATCTGATCGCGGCACGCAGCGAGGCGGGATGGGGGTTGGAGGGGGGTAGGGGCCAAAGGCGGTGGGCGACATTTGTGGACGGCAGGGATTCGGTACAGTCAGTTTTGGTGCCTGGCAAACTGTTCGTGAAAAAACATATTGCCAGGTATCAGGCCATTTTTTTGCAGGTTGTTGAACCAATGATGGTTTAAGCCCGTACGGTTTCAAGGGGTTGAAGCGCCCAAGGTTCTCTTTTTGCCCCGCAAGAGGTGTCCTCGGTCCCGTTGATCGTGGTTTCCCGGAAAAAAAAAAAAACCAGCACCAAAAGGGTCGTCTCAAACAGGGGCCCCTTGACTCAAAGTTGGGTGGGGGCCCCCCGTTTGTTTCCTTAAAAAGGGCGCCCTTAAACAGGGCTCCTCAAAAAATATACATTTTGCCCATTTGAAACATGGCTTTTTCAACACCAAAATAAAAGGACACCATCACTTACAAGGCAATGTTCAGGTGTGTTTTCTGTAAGGATCCCTGTTGAACAAACACACACACACACACACTGCTCATCACATGGCTCATGGCTC